AGAGAGAGATCCTCTTTTTGTAAGTTTGCTTACTCTGCAACGCTTCCCATTCCCCACACTTTCGCTTCCCTGCTGGCTCAATATCTCTCTCTCTCTCTCTCTCTCACACACACACACACACACAGAAACCCTTTCTGCTTTTCTCCTCCTTCTCGCCCTTTCCAGCAGAGCCGCAGGAGGAGGGGCCTGGCAAAGTGGGGCGTGGACAGGCGTGACAGAGTGAGGCCAGGCGGGGTGGGGTGGGGTGAAGCAAATAAGCTGTAGCTACTGCTGCTCACCACCAGCCAAGTGCTTGCCATTTCCTTTGCGTGTGCCGGGAGAGTGCCAGCCAGGTTGAGGTGGGCCAGAACTGGAGCAATGGGGGCTGGTCCCTTGCCATTTCTGGAACAGCTCTGGGGGCCAAATCTGGGCCCCTCCCATGCTGGATCCGGCCCGCAGGCCTTGTGTTTGACATGTCTGGGCTAAATAAATAGAACAAAGGAATTAAAACTGTAGCCTACCTTGAAGTTTACAGCTAGTAAACAACTATTTCAAATGCTAAACACCACAACATTAAAGATTCTGCATTACAGCATAGCAATAGTAATAGCACTTAGACTTATAGACTGCTTCACAGAGCTTTACAGCCCTTTCTAAGCGGTTTACAGAGTCAGCATATTGCCCCCAACAATTTGGGTCCTCATTTTACCAACCTCGGAAGGATGGAAAGCTGAGTCAACCATAAGCCGATCAGGATTGAGAGAATTGAACTCCTGGCAATGTGAGCAGAGTTAGCCTGCAATACTGCATTCTAACCACTGTGCCTCTTACTTAAGTAGAGCTGCTTAATTAAATACAAAGAGAACCACAAAGAAAACAAATGCGCAACAGATATTTTGATTTCATATTCTGCAACTTTTGTTCATCTCTCTGTGGGAATCAAGTATGACATAGTGTTTGTTGCCCACTCTACACAAGTGTTTGTCAGAAAGAGATAATGGAGATTTGGCAATCATCCAGTAGGTGATATTGGAATATCACTGAATATTCTGTTGAGAAGAACAAAAGAACAAGGAAACAGAATGTTGAAATGGGCAAACTGAACCACATCATGAGTTCCTATGGCGATTGGGAACTTGTAAACAATACATTTAAAAGGTGGATTTTCTTCAAAAGGTGGGCAATTAGAATGGAAGAAAGAAAGCTTCAAATTGGCATGAGGTGGTCAAGATGACACTCTGGCAAAAGGAAGACTCCAGCCGTGAAAAAGATCAGATCTGCACAGATGCGGAGGAAATATGGTTTGCAATGTTTTCTTACAGATATTTGTCTCCTAACTAAAATGCTGATATTTAGCCATCCAATAATTTCTCATAAAATGGAGATGATAGGTAGTTAGAAAATGGACAAGAAAGATCTGGTTATCACTAAGATATCCAATCCTTGTGGCTGGTAAATGTAGAACTATTTCTGAAAACTATGTTTTTGTTGTTGATGGTGATGGCCGAGTCTTTCCAATTCATCAGAGAAATGTAATTTAACCTGCTGTTTTCTCTGCAGTGACATTGATTTCACTACAGAAACTATCAAGTGATAGTTTAAGGGTGAAAGTTTCACAGGATGAAGAAAAACGTTCTAATAAGGATCAATAAAGTCAGCAGCCCTGTAATGAAATGGTCATTTCATCTCCTGCTGTCAGTAAATGAGGTTATGGCATGACTTAAGTAAAATACAGTACTTTTCCCCAAGGAATTTACAATCTAAATTTGGATGGAGAAGATCAGGAAAAGGTAAAGCAAAACAAGACTTAATACAAGTTGAAAGCATTAATGATCAGTATAGGGGACTTTGTAACCACAGTGTCAGAACTACCAATGTGATGTGGGAAATCCAGAACAGAAATGTAAGAAACATGAGTGTCAAACTCTGCTTACTGGCCCCAGTCAGATCATTAAAAAAAAAAATCACCATTTGCTCAGCAAAATGGAAACATACCAAGTTGATTTAGTAACCTCAAATGGAATGAAGTGAATTCCT